TTGGAGGTTGCTGTGAGCTGTAATGCCACGGCACTCTACCCAGGGGGACAGCTTGAGGCTCTGTCTTTAAAAAAAAAAAAAAATTCAATAGACAAAAAAGTTCTTGTTTTAATTTGCATGTTTTTGATTACTAGTGGTTGAACTATTTTTAGGTTTATTGGCCATTTATGTTTCCTTTGTAAATTTCTGTTACTGCCCTTTTTTCCTTAAAATTTTCTCAATTTTTTCTTAATTACTAAGAAGTCTTTAATTCCTAACATCTTTTAAATACTTTATAAAGATGCTAAAAATGGGTGGTTGATATGTTTAAAAACTCCTGGAGTAAAACTTAAATTTTCTTGCCCTAAATCTATGGCAAGAACATTTGAAAACTTGCAGCCTGGGCAACACAGTGAGACTCTGTCTCTACAAAAAAAGTTAAAGAAAAAAAAAAAAAAACCAGGTATGGTGGCATGCACGTGTAGTTCTACCTACTAGGGAGGCTGAGGTGGGAGCATCACAAGGGCCCTGAAGTGCGAGGCTATAGTGAACTATAATTGCACAACTTTACTGCAGCCTGGGTAGCAAAGCAGGACTCTACCTCTAAAAGTAAAATAAAATAAAATAAAATAAAAAAATAAAAAAGAATTAGAAAACTTGGATTTTGTTCCTTACTAGTTCTAGGACTAGATAAATGAATTAACTTCTCTCCAAGACTTAGTTTCCTCATTTATGAAATATTCATAAAACCTCTTCTTCTAACTTCTAAGAAGTTTTACAAGACAAATGGGCAAATATTTCGCACATGAGGGCGTTGTTCAACCTGTGATAGTATGGGGGTGGGTGTGTGCTACACAAGACCCCAGGATGGAGAGAGCACAGGGGGAGTTTCCCAAAGCCAATTCTTGCTAGTAGGTAAAGAACCTAAGTAAGAAATTATAGTACCCATACTGGAAAGTAGGTTTTGTAAAAGGATTAAAGTTCATGCTAGTTTCCCAGTTTTGGTGTTTTAAATTTTAAAATATAGTGAAATAATTTTGTATAGTATAAGATACATTATGTATTAAATAGCTATCTCTGTATAGAGGTTTTTTTGGTAGAGGATAGAATAAGCTTTTCTTGAGTTTATTAAATTTAATGTAAATTTTTTTTTAACCTCCTCAGGGCAGTAATGTTGACTCTGGGTTTGTATAATCATCCTTTCTGTCTCCTGTACCCTTCCAGGCAAAGGGTGTAGTCCTTAGTCTCTAAGTACTGAAACTGGTTACACATACAGTTTCATATACTTGTATTACTGTATTAAAAGCCTTATTATATATAGGAGAATTATAAAACATTTCTGTTAGCATTGTATCAGTCTTGAGGTACATATTTTTGTGTACAGCACTGATTAACAATATAGCATTAAGAATTTATGCTATAGAATCATACTGCCTAGTTCAAATTCTACTTTGTAATTCTGGGCAAATTATTTGACCTCTTTGTGTCTTATTATTTTTCCATTATAAAATGGAGAGAATACTAATATCTACTTTAAAGGGTTATGGAGTCAGTATGTTAAATGAAGTAATGTACAGTGCTTTCTTAACACAGGGCCCAACAATCCCTAAGTGCTAATAGACAGTAACTAGTATTACTTTATTAAATATTTACTGCACCTCACCTGTGGTTTTCCAGGCACAATCCTAGGCTCTGAGGATCTAGACAAAACCAAGTGTGGCAGGAGACATAAAAATAAGCACACCTAGGAGTCTAGATGGCGTTGAAGACCACCCTGGGCAGCACAGTGAGACTCTACCTCTGAGAGAAAAAACGGAATGAACAAATTAGCTGGACCTAGTGATGCACACCGATAGTCCAGCTGGGTGTCAGGCTGAGGTGGGAGATGGCCTCAGGCAGGAGTTTGAGGCTGAGTTATGATGGTGTCCCTACGCTCTAGCTGGGGTGGCAGAGTGAGATCCTGTGTCTGGGGGAGAAAAGCTTTGCTATATTTTATTCACTAAAAAACATTAATATACTTTTAGGGAGCGCCACTGGAATTTTTGGTGTTACATGATGTTGAGTTAATAGTATCCCGTGTGGAAAATACTGCGCATGGTGGAGAAATAGGAGAAAATGAAAACGACGCTGCGGAGGAGGCCGACATAGGTACTGTGCGCTGTCCGCCCC